CTGTAATTTACTGAAGAGTGTTCAGTAGAAAACACAGAAGTGTTTTATGCAAATTAGTTTTTAAACCCCAAGAATATTTTAAACTCTAGAAATCATCCCTGATTCATGTCTTGTATCATTAAGACATAGTTTATTTATTTCTGGCTATCCATGCATATATGTCCCAAAAAGGATTTTCAGGTTAAACGAAAATACGCTATTTCTTCCCATCAGCAATATCGCTCACTAATTTTTGAGACTATGTATACACAGTGTTAGATTTCCATATTCTAAAAAGGTCTTTAGGGGGCTGAAATACTTCTGTGTCACCTAACTATAAAACCCACTCACATCCAACACCCAATGTCAAGTTGACCAAGAGATAATCAATGGCAGATATACCACTTAGGTATGCACCCAATTATCATCCTTAACAATTGCCAGTAAAATGTCAAAGCTTTTCCTATATTTTGGATTCTTCTCAAATACAGATTACAGCTGACCATACTTTATTAATTTTTGTGTTTGCCCTTCTTTCTTTTTTTTTTTTTTGAGACAGAGTCTCACTCTTTCACCCAAGCTGGAGTGCTGTGGCGCAATCTCAGCTCCCCACAACCTCTGACTCCCGGGTTCCAGCAATTCTCCTGCCTCAGCCTCCTGAATAACTGGGATTACAGGCGCACACGCCCACACTCCGCTAATTTTCGTATTTTTAGTAGAAACAGGGTTTCACCATGTTGGCCAGGCTGGTCTCAAACTCGTGACCTCAGCCTTGGCCTCCCAAAGTTCTAAGATTGCAGGCATGAGGCACTGCGCCCGGCCGCCACATTTCTTTAAACTACATAGTTGCCACATATAGTGGAAAATGAAAAAAAAGATTAATAAACCATAAAATTATGATACTCTATTGTGTGTCATCAGGCATTTTTAAGAGACTACCAAATATCTAAAAATATCAAGAATGATATAAGTAAATTTTAATATTTTTAGACTTTTTTAGGACCCTCTTTGTATTCTTTCCAGCACATTAGTTTACAAAAAGTTCAACTAGGTTCATAAAAATGTTTACTGATATGAGATTATCCCTCAGAGTTTGTAGAGGAATACGCAGCTGTGAGAGCTACAATTTACAGTAATATCCAAATTTACCACGGCACCCAGTAGTGACTAAAGTAACACAATTCCCCATCTTGGTTAACAGCATAAGATCAAGGAGTTTAATATTTTAATAAAACGCCACCAGAAACCTCATCTAAGAAAATATCATTAGAGTTTCACACTATATTTTTTAGACTATTTTAAATGCATGTGATTATATTTATGTAGTTATTTTGTAAGAAGTATTTCAAAGAAAGCAGAAAAAACTGTAAGGTCAACAGTTTTGTAAGGCAGTTTTCATTCACAGGACGTAGCAAACGAGCAGAAGACTCAGATTCTTGGATTATGCACTCCTGAATATAAGCATGCACTATATCACACACACACACAAAAAGCAATGGGATCTTGAACCGTTCTCTCTCTCAAAGCCTCTGTTTGTTACCCTACAGAATGAGAAGAAAGTCACTTAAGTTCCTGTTATGAGAAATAGACGAGCATATTATTACCAAAAATAACTAAAATGCCACGGATATTTTCATTCGTTTCAAGCACAGTTCACAAATAATAAAATACCTACACAATTTGGCCTAAAATTTCAGGCTATGCATGTTTAGAACCAAACTACTGTTCATGATTATCTTCCTCAGTTGTTCTTTCCCTTGAAGCTAGCACCCAAAAATGAACACACAGTACATTTTTTAATAAATCCATCCTAGTGATTAAATCAACAAAGCCTCCAGCTCTTCTGCACACAGAAATACAGTATACAATGGGAATTTCCTAGCTTTCTGTCTTACTTCATAGTGGGTAGTGTAGTATCACCCTTCTACTTCCAGTATGCTTCCTATGGCTTACTTACCAAAACATTTCATCCCTGTCGCTTTTATTTTTTGTCTTGTCTCAGGCTAGGGCTACTAGCTTTCTATCTTTCCTACCTTAACCTCTTCTTCACATATTAGCTACTTTATGTTAAACGAATTACAAGTGCTCAACCGACCATATGGAATTAAAATTTACTTTGAAAAATGAACCAAAAAAAACAAAAACCAAACTAATTTAGCAATGTGTTTTATGAAGTACTTCAGCCTCATGAAAACTACCATTAAGCAATGTGTAAGCATATTATTCAATCTGCTTCATACGAAAGTATCTCGTCTGACCTCAGACATTCTGAAAGTTTTGCGACACTGCTTCAAGTATTGGCTAGTAACCCTTTTCAAAGCTACCCTATTACTGAAAACTTGGCAACCATGTTTAACAATAATGAAATAAATACACAGTAATGATGCTTTTAAAAAGAATGAGGGGTGTAATAAAATGGAGGACTATCCGTGATGCATTGTTGGCTAACAAAACGATATACTGTATGATCCCAAATTCTGTTTCTAAAGCACACTCAATAAATGCACAGAAAAAAAAAAAAAAAAACTTGAATAACTACCCACACTTGGATACTGGCTACCCTGGGTAGTAAGAAGGGGAAATATGGTGGGGAGGGCGCGAAAGAGGGCAGGTTTCTTCATTGTCTGGCTGCTTCAGTTTTTCTTAAAGAGCATGTAGTGCTTCCATAATTAAAAAAATCAATGGGGGAAAAGTAACTATTGTAAAACCACACTTTTTCCTCCGTAGCAAAGTCTCATGATTTGTAATGTTAAAAATATAGCTATGGTTTCTCGATTCTAAAAAGAGGACACACGAAACCAAAACTATAAAAGTTCCAAAAAATCCGGAATTTGCAAAATTACTCTCTCGGGTTCTGCCCGTGGGTCCTTTCCCCGCCAGTGTCTGAAATCTCCCCAGCAAAACGCGGGTACCACACTTCCCACGAACGGTAGCAGACGCTCAAACACACAGAAAGAGCCCTGGGCGCCTGCTCTACCCTCTCAGTCCCCTCCCAGCCCCCGGGCTCCCCCGAGCCTACGTAGGTAGGATTCTCTTCCTCCAAAACCAAAACAACAGAAGTCACTGGGCGAATCCAAACCGGCCCCAGGGGGCCCGCGGGCATCTCCAGACGCCAGCGCTGGGGCTCTGGTCCCCAAGCCCAGGTCAGCGCCGAAGGACAGGCCCGAGGACGCGGTGCCCCGGCCTCCCTCGGGCTCCCAGCTCCCGCCCTCCACGCTCCGCGGGGTCCCTTTCGACTCCCGGACTGCCGAGCCCTCCGCCCCCGGCCCATCCTACCCCAACCTGCCCCGCAGTGCCTCAGTCTCCCGGCCCCGGACCTGCCCGCCCTTCTGTCCTCCTGCCCCCGACTTGCTCGCCCTTCAGTCCCCCTGCCCCCGACTCTCGGCTGCCGACCCCCAGGCTCACCGGCCTCGGAGCGCATCCCCGTCGCCCGCCCGGCCCCAGCATGCAGGACCCGCACACCCCACGGCCCCAAGCCCGCCGGCGGCGGCGTTACCTACGGCGCAGCAGTGGGTCAGGCCCGCCGCAGCTGCGCCCAGGCCAGGCGCTAGGACTCGGCGGGGTCCGCAGCAGCCGGACGCGCCAACACCACAATAACAACAACACGGCTGCACCACCGGAGGCGGGGCCCGGATCAGCCACTGGAGCAGCTAGACGGTCCCGGCCTCCGGAGCCTCACGGGCCAGGCATGCGCAGAGAGGCGCTGACACGGGAGCCGCCCCTTCGGACGCCAAAGTCAACAAGGCTGGGGTACGCCCCCATCTGGCCACGCCCCCTCTGGCTCGCTCCGCCCCCAAGCCCAAACAACGCGAGGGCTTGACAGGCCAGAGGACCACGGCGGTGGGGGAGATCCCGCGAGAGCATGGCGTCCACTTCCCCTCGCGTCCCGTCCACGTTAGGGTGCCGGCGAGCGCAGTGGCGTGGGGCTGCCTGCTTTCAGTGGTCTCACAACTAAGGAGGGTCGGGGCGCCGCCGCAGGGTCCCCTTCGCGCTGGAGGCAAGGTCTTCCGGTGTCGGAGCATTTTGGAGATGCATTCCTGGGTTTGGAGGCGAGCCCGCAGTGGTTGCTTCCACAGAGGCTTCGCGGAGGGCCGGGGCTCAAGACTGCGCCGCGTGACAGCGGCCCCGTGGCGTCCGGAAGTTTCCCCCAGCGCCGGTCGTTAGCGCCCCCGCCGCCTGGGTCCCGCCCTGCCGGCCACTTCGCACTCCGCGCCCAGCCTCAGGACACCCCGCGGAGGCGCCTCCTAGCGCCCTGCCGACCCGGGACGGGGGCGTGCGCTCCTCCTGCAGCCATGGACGCAGCTGGGCCACGCAAGTTTCCCCGGGCTTGGTGAACCACCCCAAAGACCATTGCTGGAAGGAAACGGTGTTGAGGAGGAGGGATAGAAAGTCGAGAACAGGGCTGGGCGCGGTGGCTTACGCCTGTAATCCCAACACTGGGAGGCCGAGGCGGGCTGATCACCTGAGGTCAGGAGTTCAGGACCAGCCTGGGCAATATGGTGAAACCCCCGTCTCTACTAATAATACAAAAATTAGCCGGGCACCGTGGCACGCGCCTGTAATCCCAGCTACTTGGGAGGCTGAGGCAGGAGAATCGCTTGAACCTGGGAGTCAGTCGGAGGTTGCAGTGAGCCGAGATCATGCCACTGCATTCCACCTGAGCGACTAATTCGAAACCCCGTCTCAGAGGAAAAAAAAAATACTGCCACTAAGGCTCCTAAGCAGTGAACATGCTATTCATACTTCTAAGACTCCTAGCGAACTGCGTTTTTTTAAATTAGTTTTAGTGTACATGAAGACATGTCTTTTCCAAATACTGTAATTTTTGAAGTGTTGTTCATTCATTTTGTGCCTTTCCCTCCAGCCCCTAATAGCAGGTTGCAGCATAATTTGGTTGCATCGTGTGAATTCTGTTCGATTTTGATTTTCAAGTGTGTGTCAGCTACCCTTGCAGGTTACCCAAGGTAAATTAGAACCCCTTTATGCTAGGGTTACTGCTTCCCACCATGACCAACCTTCTGCAAAAGCGTTCAGAAAGAACATACTAGCAAGTTCAAAAGCTTCAAATCACGATATAAGAACTTGAAAACAAGAACAAGTTTGCTACTGCAGTGGTCTGCCATTTAACTCAAAAGCTTCACTTTATTTAGGTTTAAAGTATGAGTTCCTATTCAATGGACATTGAGATCAGAACTGTTCGAAATCTCTATTCATTTGCATTGTGGAGTAGAGCTGCAGGCCACACATATTAGCTCCATCTTTGGAGTTCTGCCTGGGCCCAGGGCACTCCTAACCGTGATGGGATCATGTAACAGTCTTACAGGATTAGTTTTCTGCTAGTCCAAGCAGAAATTTTGGCTCATGAAAACATCTTACCATAAACAAGAAAAGTACAAGTGATAATCTAAGTTAGGAAATAGCTAAAATCATTAAACAATTCTTATAGCCTTTCTCTTGTTTCTTCTCCATTTTTTCAAAGACACCTATTTCTTTACTTTCTTCTTTCTGCTACGGGAATTTTCAGAGTTTTCTCTTCTGCGGCTATAAAGTTAAACACAGGGCATTTTTTAAATAAGAGCACTAGTGAGTACCTTGTTAATAAACAAGACCAAGTGTTACTCTTGTGGGTGATTAGTTGAACAGCAAGTAATCAAGCTATCAACTCTAATTTTCCCCCATCTCCACCTTCACATCATTTCTGATTATGCCTCCATACCTTACACATACAGTATAATTCAATTTTTTTTTTTTTTTTGAACCGAAGTCTCGCTCTGTCGCCCACACTGGAGTGCAGTGGCGCGGTCTTGGCTCACTGCAACAACCTCTGCCTCCCAAGTTTAAGCAGTTCTCCTGCCCCAGCCTCCGGAATAGCTGGGATTACAGGCACAAGCCACCACGCCCAGGTAATTTTTTCTATTTTTGGTAGAGATGGGGTGACCGCGTGATCCACCTGCCTGGGCTTCCCAAAGCCCTGGGATTGAGCCACCGCACCCAACTTTTTTACTTTTTTACTTTTTTTTTTTTTTGAGACGGAGTCTGGTTCTGTCACCCAGGCTGGAGTACACTGGTATGATCTCTGCTCACTGCAGCCTCCACATGCCAGGTTCAAGCAGTTCTCCTGCCTCGGCTCCCCGAGTAGCTGGGATCACAGGAGGGCACCACCACGCCCTGCTAATTTTTGTATTTTTAGTAGAGATGGGGTTTCCCCATGTTGGCCAGGCTGGTCTCAAACTCCTGACCTCAAGTGATCCGCGCGCGCTTCAGCCTCCCAAAATGTTGAGATTTATAGACGTGAGCCGCCACACCCGTTATAATTCACTTCTTATATGTGTCTTCCTACTAATTTGTTTGTAATCATGAAAGTTGGGCACATGCCCAGTAAGCTCAGTATTTCTCTCCAGGGCCTGGTACAGTGTCTGCTACAACACTGATACTCTGTATTTGTTGAATGAGTAATTTAAATTTTAAATTATCATCTAGAATCATTTAGAGATTTATTTCGACTTTGACAAATTTAGATAGCCTACACACAATTTATTCCTAGAGTTCTTGATACATTGTTGCAGCAAGTTTGGTCCTGGCAACAGCAGTAACACTTGCTATAATAATTCTTCATACCAGATTGCTTCACTTTTATTATTAAGCAGAAAATACCTAAAGTAAAACTGAGCTATTTCAGACTCTTTTCAGAATACTGCATAGGTAGAAGCATTGTTACATCAGAAGTGCTCTGTTATTTGAATGCATAAGACATTCTACAAATGAATGTTTATGAAACTAAATGGTATTTAGCATACAGCTACTCTTACTCTGCTATCTCACATTTTTCACGTGTGTGATAGTCAGCATTGGTGCATGTTTCCTTCAGCCTCAGAAATGGAGATGTCTGCAGGTTGCCCAGATCTACCTTAAAACCTCTAGTTGCTTCCTAACTCCTCGGTTGTATAATGGGACTTCATTATGTTTTATAGCGCCAAGTCTGGTCTGTGAAGCCTGAATGGATTTCCTCCTTATAACTCTTAATTTGGCCTCTAATGTCTGAGGAAAACCCAAAACTAAAATCTGACTAAATAGAGAGCTGTTTTTTTTCTGCAGTTTGATTTCCCTGTACCATTTTCAGTACAGTTTAATTCATCACCTCCCTCACCTCACCATCCCCCTCCTCTTGCCAAAAAAAAAAAAAAAAAAAAAAAAAAAAAAAAAAAAAAACAGCTAAAACAAATATTTCCTCTCTGAAAGAGAATTGTCTCTCTCCAGGCACAGTGACTAACTACTGTAGTCACAGCCCTTTAGGAAGCAGAGGTGGGAGAATCATTTGAGCTCAGAAGTTCAAGCTTTCAAGATTAGCCTGAGCAACATAATGAGACCTCATTTCTATAAATAATTTAAAAATTAGCTGAGTGTTGTGATGCGTTCCTGTAGTCCCAGCTATTCCAAAAGCTGAGATGGGAGGATTGCTTAAGCCCAGGAGTTTGTTTCTAATTGAATGTAATCTGCACAGGCAGATTTCATTTTCAATTAAAAGGTCAGTAATTTCTGAAGTATTCACTTGATGAATAATAGAATTAAATGACTTTGGGAAAGCATAATTTTATTTTAAATTGCATGTACAATCCCTTAATTACATAGATTTTAATGCTAGGATAGTCTTCCAATAAAAGGAAATATAAATTATCAACAAAATGAATTTCTTTTAGAAAAATAAGCATTTATAATATCTACAGTAGACAAAAAGTGACTTTAACTCAAAATTACTCATATCGTGTTCAATCTATATAGATATCTTTTATTAAAAATTCTGCTTAAAAAAATCATGGCGTGGAGAAAAAGAAAAAAATCTGCTTGTAAACTAAGTGCATCAAAACTGTAGATAAACATCTTTTTAATTTGTAAATTTTAAATTAATCTTTTTAAAGAATCTATGAAAAATTCAATGAACGTTTTCTGACACTGATAGATACTGAGGATATTGCAATAATATATAGTTCCTGTCTCAATAAACTTACATTCATATAATAGGAGGAAAGTGACCCTTGACGTAATAGTAGGGGTACAAATAAAATACTGTTGCTCCATAGTAGTGTTCCATGGCAGAAGTCTAATTTAAATCAAGCTTTGAAATTTGAATAAAATTTTTGAATTATGGAGATAAAGAGAACAGTTATTTTAGGGACCTGGAATATAAAAGAATAATGCTTCCGTAGATAATTTGTTTTCAAAGAGCAGAGTTTAATCTGATTTAGCTTGAACATAGAATGCGTAAAGGATAATAGGAGCTGAGCCTAGAAAGGTAGACTGCAGCCAGATTTTGGTGGTCATTAGATTGGATACAGCAGGCAATAAGAAGCCAAAACTTAGTGTTCACTTTTATGTAAATGTAGCTGACTCGAGTACTTTAGATTAGAACTAAAAATTATGCTGTATATAACTATTACTGTAGTTAGGTAAAACCATTTCAGAGTCTCCTTTAGTGATTCATAGTATAAATAAAATTGTATTTGTATATGTGTATACCTATATATGTATGTATTTTTTTAAGTATGGCTTTTGAATTCTGATATGAAGATGAAAAAGTCTTTGGTCAGTAAGCCTGTCTTTCTTGGTCAGATACTGAACCACAGTA